TTTTTTTTTTTTTCACTTTTTTTTAATTGGGTGAAGGAATACTTAATCCTGGTGTGGAATATACATACCTAAAAGAGTAATGTGCAGTAGCCCAGCAGCACCTGGGCTGGACTAATGGACTATGTGTGTTTTTTTTCAGAATGTTTTCTTCCATCCCTAGTGCCGTCCATCTCTTTGCTAGGACTTATTTTTACCACTGAGCAGCCACTCTAGTGAACTTTGGAAACCTCATTCCCTCCCAGTTGTAAAAATCTGCATTCTCTAAAAGGACTTGGCACACACTTTCATAAGGACTGGTCTCCTCATTGCCTGGTTCTTTTTCCCTGTAATCAGCCTTGATTACTGTGGCAAAAAAAAAAAAAAAAAAAAAAAAAAAAAAAAAAAAAAGAAATAAAAAAAACCCAAACCCTAGGATTTGCTCTGTGTCATTAATATTTTCATAGGAGGAATCTATCTGAGCAAGCTGGTCAAAAAATGGAAGCTTTGCTGTAATTTTTTCTGTAGTTGTCACACTATGACAGCCATCAAGATTMTCCAGAAAACATGTATCTGACCTACTTTCGTGGTTGTCCAGCACAATAAACCTGTCTTCCACATCTTCCTGCCACGTGGAATTTTTATCTTGGCAAATTAGTAATGCTTTTATTAAAGGATTATTTACTTTCTTGGAAGTACCAGGATTGTTGATATTGGCAAGGTTGCAATGTGGTGGACGAGTGGGATTATCCACAAGGAATTCAAGTGAATAATGCATCTTCTGCCTGTGTGTCTCAGAGAATTTAGCAGTTTAGAATTTAGGTCCTGCAAGGAYCTGACTCCAGTCGGCACCAGCCTCTCTGCCCATCCTCCAGCCGGAGCTCGTATCTTCCCCCTGTCCCCACGTACCTCCGTGTTTCCCACTTCAGCTCCCTGCTCTGGTCTCCCCCATCAGCTCCATCCCTCTCACCTCAYTCTGTGTCTGCAATGCTATTGCCAGGTCTGGCAGCTGCTAAAAAGCCAAGAGTCAGAGCTGTAGAGCTTCCCAGTGAGCTGCTTCCTGACAGAGCCCAGTGGTGCAGAGGGGGCTGCCTGAATTCAGTGATGTCTGTGCCTGGTATGGGCAAACTGATGCTACTTTTTAAATATTGTAACTTGCTCTGAGTTGGGCAAATTGACAAGAGTGACAAAAGATGCACTGCTGATGCCATTTCAGCCAAATTCCCTAGTGGTAGTTTAAAACCTGACATCTTGGAGCTTTTCTTCAAAAAAAAATGAGACTTTTGGCTTAATACATGCAAAACAACGTATTTTCCAAATCATATTCTAAGAAACAGCTAAGCCATTTTACCTAGAATTTTTTTTCCAAGTGATTCTGCTTCAGGCTTGGAAAATTTCAGTGTGAACTGCTTCTTGCATAACACCCTCTCCCCCTAAACCAGCACGTGACTCACATGTACAGACACCATAACACAAAATCCTGACACCATGTGAGCAGCTAAGCTTGCCAGCCTGTACATCATCTATTTACTAAGTATGAAAATATAATGTTTATATTCAAGTTGATTATGTTTATTTTAGTATTTAGCATTTAGGTCTGTATGAATGAGAAATACCAGACAAAAATGCATAGGCTGTTTTATTCTCTGTTATGAGATTTCTGTGTCATTCTGATCTTTGTCAACTGCTGTTAATCCATCACCAGGGCAAACAGAGGTAKTTTAGCAGCAATAATATCCCACAGCCACATTACAAGAGCAGCCTTTGGTAATTTCATTCTACTTTAACCTCATTCCTTTACTGAGGGTCTCTCTTTATGCTTGATACAGCCACACCTGAATAAACTATTTTGCACCTGTTGTCTCCTGTACCAGTATTTCAGCTAGGGAATACATTTGCTTGTCTCACTACTTCTCTCTATTACCTGTGTAATTGTAAGTATTTCTGCAGTCTGTGTTCCATGTGTGCCTTTTTTCTGTCAYGACAGTCATTTGATAAATTTCTTTAAAGTCAGAGCCCCAGCCTCTTCCAGCCCAAATTAATCCTAATACATCTTAATGAATCAAGTGCCTCTGATCAGCTGAGGTAGATCAATAAAAACATTTTTAAAAGAAAATATCTTCTGTAAAGGGTGTTTCTGTAAACATTAGCAGAACCACTTAAAAACCCCTCATGACAGTGTGGTATAGCTTATCCTTGCAAAGCTGGCTTGCAGCTGGCTACAGCTCTCAATCTGCTGTAGCACCAGTTTATAGAAAAGTCTCCCTACAAGATGTGAACATCGGCCTACTCTGAAAATGCTGTACTACTTCAGTAGAGCAAGGTCAGGAGGTTCAAGGTTAAAACTGCTTGTGCAGGTCCCTCTTTATTCTGCATAGTTTGAATTTGAGACTGGGAGATGGCACAAGCCTTTTCACTGCTGTCATTACAATGATGCATTCAGGCCCGAGAAAATCTAGCACTAATGTATACAGAAAATCTGGTAAGCTATTTTTTGTCAGTCTTTTAAATATGAACCCATTTTATATTTAGTGTACATAGAAGCCCCTTGGATTTGAGACAGGAAATTGAAAATTCTCAGCAAAATGTTAGTTTGATCTCAGCAAACTGAATTTTTAACGATCACATACATTTTACATAGGTTTGTATCTCTCTAAGTGGCTGTAGGTGCTAASAAATCACATTTTCAAAGCACCAAAAAGTCCCAGTTAATTAAAATGTGTGAAYGACCTGGATAAGGTATGTAATAATTCATGTAGCAAGATATGCTACAACTCTTTAGTTGCAATAACTTTGCTAATTATTAGAAGGGCAGCCCTGATGTTAATTTTTTATAGAATGCATAAATTGCTTATGGTTAATAGCTGAAAACCTGGTAAAAATAAAAAAMWAWAAGAAACATTTCCTTTGTTGATCTCTTATGAAGTAAAAAGATTAGCCTGTGTTTCCTTCTCTCCTTGCATTTCTCTCATTAGGAGCAGATRCAGACTGGGAGGTTTTTTGCTGTCAGGTTAAAGGATAACAGTGAGATACTGACAGCACAATAGACCAAGCTAATGCACTCCCAGCCTCACAGAGGAAGATAAAATTCAGCTTTCTGGCTCACTGCAGTTCCCTGTGCCTATTTAGGGAGCCAAAACCCAACACAGTTTAATGTTCTGAGATGAAAATAGAAGCAGATAAAAAGAAATTAGAAGTAGAAGAATGGGGAGTGAACCGCAACTCGAGATTGTACRTGTTTTCAAGGGCAAAAAATCGTATTTACTGTATGTGTCACAACAAAGAGCCTCCTGGTCAGTGCTTAGTCCTTCCTCTTGGAGAGGGAGGCTKCTCCACCTCTGCCATACACTGGCCTGTCTAAAAGGGACAGAACTGAGGCAGAGCAGGAGGCTCATGTGCAGAGGATAGCATTGTCTCAGTAAATCTATTTCTGGAAAACCTCTCTAGCTATGACACTTGGAGCTGCTTGCTGTTAAKAAGGGAAGGCAGGATTATTTTCTGTTTCTGCAGTTTGGCACTACAATCATCACTTTTTAATTAGTGAAGATGGAAGATGTCCCTGACCTTTGAGGATGCAGGATCTGATTTGTATCCGAACAGGAGAGYCCCATGTGCATTTATCTCCCTTTGACACGTGTCATGCCTATCTCCACCCAGAGCGTGCTTCTGCCTCACTTCCCTTTGACACAGTCAGAACTTAGCTTGCACAATCTCTAGGCCTGAACTCCTTCCTCTGTGAGATTTGGAGGGGGTTTATGATTTGCTACATACTTGTGGTCTCAGAAATGGTGACTGTCACTGATGCTGAAACCAGCACAAAAATGCCTGACTGTGAGTGACGGGAAGATGCAGAGAAGGGCTGTGTGATGTAAAATYGAGGTCATGGTCTCCCTGAGTTCCTCATCAAACTATTATCAACTAATACATATAAACAGGCCTCACTGCTGTGAATTCTTGCTGAATGAGCACCAGCTTCCTTGCCTGTCTTTTCCTTCTTCCCTGATCTACTTTTGCTCATGCCTCAGTCAGCACTCCCCCTCTCAGTCCTCTCTCTCCCCCGTGCCTGTGACGCCAGGAGATGCCTTYGTGCCACATGCCCAGCACAGTTCCCGTCCTGGCTGACCTCCCTGGCCCCTGCCGTCACAGCTTGGCAGCAGCACCTTCCCTGCAAAGCTGTTTGTGAGTGCGTCACACCCACTCACAGAAACCATGACAGAGCCTGTTGGCACGGCCAGCACTGCCTGTCCCTGGGCTGCAGGGTGCCTGGTGCCACCAGCACCTGCCAGGGAGCCACCCTGGCTGACCAGTGGGACATTTGTCCGGTGCAGTGTGACCGTGCTGTGCAGCTCATGTCCCTCAGCACAGCCATGGCCAGCCCCTGCTGGGTGACTGCTGCCTTAGCAGGTCCCAGCTTCATGTGGTCATCTTTGGCCAAAGCAAGATATCTGAAAACCCTTATGTAGCCTTGCTTAAACTCTTATAAGACCTCTGAAAAACTCTTCATCTGAAAAAAGCAAACTCTTTTGCTAGCCCAGGAGTCTTGCCCTATACCTTCCATCACATTTTTTTATCAGAGCTGGCCCTCTCCTTCTCCAAAACCATCTGCAGAAGGAACAAGACAACTTCTCCCAAGTGAGGCAGCTTAGGTGTGCTTAGTGCAGCCTATCCCCAGGAGCAATGATGCAGCTTCAAGAAAGTCTGGTTATGGAAGGTGTGGGGAGAGATAAAGACAAACCTGGTGAGTCACGGGAGCATGCCAGGGGCAGAGCCGGCATCCAGGACTTGGGAACACTCCCACCTGTCAACCTGATAATAGGTAAGAAAGAAGGAAGTGATTAATAATTAAAATAATTATGGAATAAATTAAGGTAATTAGTCTCCTTATTGATCTTATGAAGTGTTGTCCAAAACTGGAATGCTGGGATTCCAGACCCTCTGGTTTTGTGCTACCCTATAAAATGAGAGTCCCTGTCATTAGGTCTTCTTGGACTGGAGTTTTAATTTGTGACACTGCCCAGTTGTGCAGAGGTGCAGCTCCTCAGCTGGGAGGAAGTGAACTGAGAAATGGTAGTAGTGAAACAGTGACAAAACCAGCTCTTTCTACACTCCACGTATTTTGCAGCTCTTCCTCGTTGATGGGTCAGTGTTGGTGGGGCAGAGGTAGCAGAGGATCCCCTTGGCAAGGGGATGTGAGGGCTTGCGGATCCACAAGGAAAGCTGTGGCAGAAGGCAGAAGATGGGTGGTGACAACATAATTGTGCCTTCTGCACTCCCAATGACACTCTGCCCCCCTCACCCCACAAACCCCCATCTGGGGCTGGTGCTGTACTCCTGGGGTTCCTCCTTTTTCCAGCTGTACACAGCACTGTTACAGTTGGTCTAAATGGAAGTTTTTAGCCTGTTATTTTTCTGCTGCTTGGCCAAGCTGTTAGCTGTGGTGCCTGCAGATGTGTCCCTAGCTCCTAGGATTTCCAGGTGCTCCCCAAACAGACATGGGGAAGGCCCATAACTGGTTTTGCACAATCAGATGTGCTTAGCCCACAGTAACGTCATCTTACAGAAATAATAGTGATTTTCTGTGCAGTTTTATTATCCAAGTCAGTGTTGTATCAAGGTGCAGGTGGTAGAAAGGGAGCCCTTTCTCTCCCATCCCTGCCAGCAATGCCTGTKCCAGTYTCCCAGKGRTCTGTCAGGCTTCCTGCAACAAATKACCTGCCCTACAYGTCACAAGCAAAGTGCACCAAGTGGAGTCCCAGAGGATTGCAGGGATCTCACCCATAAATTAAGGAGCAGAAAGAACAC